CACACACACACACACACACACACACACACACACACACACACACACACACACACACACACACACACACACACACACCTACGTGTATATACACATAACACTGACAAGGATTCTTTCTTCCCAGACATTCCCTGGGCTCCTGAGCCTTCTCCTAGGCCTATCTGGGCCCCTCCTGGGAACATCCAGTTTTTCAAGGACCTGCTGAGCTGTTTCACCCAGATGCTGCCCATACCTGAAGGTCCTCACCCCCACCTGCCCCAGGGAGGTCTGAGCGCCCGGCAAAGGCCCTGTCAGGCTGGTTCAGCCAGAACCCGTGGCCACTCTGCACTGTGGCTGTGGGCCCCCACCGACCCACTCAGGATTCAGAGTTGAGTCCTCTCTTCCCCAACTGCAAGTCCCACTGCAGTGGGCCCTGATCCTACTGAGGTGGCCCCAGATAAAGTTCTCAACTACTGTTGTGAATGATTTTTTCTTTAGCAGCATACGCACACACATGCATAGACATGCACACACACATGTACCTGCACGCACATATATACACATATCTGCATGTACAATATACACACATATACAAATGTACACACACACACGTCATGTTTCCCCTGGGGCTCCCAGGCAGGCCCCTCACTGGCTTCCTCCTGCCTGAATAGGCTGTGGCCTGTGCAAGCAGGGTCCTGGGCAGCTGGCAGCAAGTCCATGCCCCATGTGGAGCCTGGACCCAGGGCCCTGCAGGGGCGCAGCACACGGCCTGGCCGGGCTGAGCCCTGAGTGGCTCCCTTTCTGCCCTGCCATGCTGCAGGGCTGGAGGGTCCTGGAGTGAGGCAGCCCTGGGAGGCCCTGCTCACTCTCGTCCATGCAGGAGCAGTACAGCGTCTTGGCCTTCTGCACGGCTGACCGGTCATTGGAAGTGGAATTCTCCAGCACTCCTGGGGCAGAGGAGGAAGGTGGACTGGGGCTGAGGCAGCTCCGGGGGGCCGGGTCAAAGGTCCCCATGCACACACACTCAGCAAGAGGTGGGCCCTCTGCCCTGCTGGGCCTTTATCCCAGGGTGCTGCCTCTCCCTGTGCCCACCGGCCCCACTGTGGCCCACAGGCTGGCAGACCGGGCTACCCCTGCCCAGTTCGAGGCCACCCTCACTTTTGAGGATGACCTCCAGCTTGTCTCGAAGGATGTCAGAGATGCTGTAGAGGGCGCTGGCCTCAGGGATCACGTGGTGCTGCAGCCAGCCCCCGCGTGCGTACTGGTAGAAGTCGCCACATGGCTTCTTGGATGGGTCCATGCTCTGGAGGATCCTGGTGGCTGTTTGTGCCCAGGGTGGAGAGGAAGAGGGAGAGCCAGCTGTGGATGGCCTGACTGGCCGTCAGGCATGTGGGCACAGCTGTGTGCCCATCGTAGTGTTGGCCACTGTCTCTGAGCCTCAGTGAGGTTGGAAGCAAGGATCCGAGGTACACGGCCACCGCTCGTTAGCCACACACCTCATAGCCCTGTGACAACCCCAAGCCTCCGTTTCCATGTCTGCAGATCCCCCTCACCGGCAGCCTATGAGGGATGAGGTGATGGGCCGGGACTGCCGGCTCCCCTGTGTGCTCTGGGTCAGGGCCAGACTCTGCCCCTGGGGCCCCCCACCTGCTGACCACTAGGGGTGTGTTTCCTGTTGCAGGGGATGGCTTTGCCCCCAGAACCCAAGTGGGACAGTGGGGCCCTGAGGTTCCCAGCTGAATGCCCTCAGCTGAGGTGGCTGGGCTGGACTCCCCACCCGGACTCCCCACCTGGATCCGTGTTCCACATGGCTGGGACCTCGCAGGAAGCACCACCAGGGGTGGCCACCCATGACCCCAATATGGGCAGAAAAACACATTTTTGAGTTTTTTACTAGCTTTTATTCATGCTGGGGTCACATCTGCAAAAAGCAGCCTGTGGCCCCCAATTTTTTTTTTAAATAAAATGCTGAAGTGGTAGGTAGATGTAAGATAAAGGTAGAAAACATAATTTAGTGCTGTAAGAGGGCAAACGTAGATGATCAGGTGTGTGCCTGTAGCCTAAGAATTAATCCAAGCTAGACAAGGGCAGCAAAACATCCACGGATGCAGAAGATTTCTCTCAAAACGGGGGGGTGAGGTTCTAAGCCTCACCTCTGTGGATCCCCAGTTTCTCACCTGATGGCCCCCCTGCGACTGTGCCTGTCTTAGGTTGTTCCTCCCTTGAGGAATCTTACCCGTCTCTGGCTAACCAGTCATCTTCCGGGGCCATACAGGGAAATGTAAAGTTGGTAAGTGAGAGAGAAGCCATATTGTTTGACAAGGTTAGCTTTTTACTTCTTTGCAGATTTATGCCCTGTGGCTTCTATGCCCAGCACTTGTCTCGAGGTATCTTTACTACTTGGAAGAATTATGATACTTGGTAATTTTCGATGTGAGGCACAAAGTCTACTAAAGGGTTGTAATTAGGAAGGAAGAAGAAAAGCTATAAAAGTAGCAGATGGAAGAAAATATGGGAAGATTGATTATTTCTTTGACATAACTTCTTGTAGAGTAATATAAGCATTATAGGTTTTAACAAACTAATTAAATTGCATACACACATTAACAGAATAGGAATACAGTTCCATAACAAAAGCAGACCTACAATTACCAGCCATGTCCAGTGAAACCAAAAAAACCAGTTAGGCACCCTAGGCATTTGTGTAAACTTATCAATAATATGATGGATGTTGTCTAACTGAATTTGAACAGTCTGAGAAAAATCAGACAAATTAAAACAACACATTCTTGGGAACTGTTCACATCCCATATGTTCTTTTAACAGTAGATAGTCTATAGTTGCACAATTTTGGAGCGCTGCAACTTGCACTTCTCCTAATTCTTGGTTGAGTTCCGACAGTATAGATCCAGTCAAATTTGTTGTTTTACTGTGTGCACAGGCCAGCTTAGATATCTCCTTCTTCATTCCAGTGGCAAGTCCAGGAACCGGTGAGATGGATGCAGCTACAACTGCAGCATCGCCTGGATCTTTGCTGAAGTTTTTTGATGATCATTTTCTGGAATAACTCTTCCAGAGGATGTTGATGTTGGAAGTTCTTCTTCATATCGTATCTTAATTCGTTTTCTGGGTAGCCAAATTAGGCTTTGATCCTCTGTATAAACACAAACAAACCCTTTGTGTGGCCCCCAATTTTAAGACAAATTCCTGGGAGGAATTTTGAGTGCGTACGTTCGTTCGTGTGACCTATCTTTCCTTTGTGTCAGTGCATCAGAGAGCCTGGGGCCGGCTTCCCTGTGAGGGGAAGGGTGGTCTCTGGGGGCCACAGGGGAAGGAATGGAGCAGAGCCACTCTCCACCCCCAAGCGAGCAGGGCCAGGGTATGCCCGCCAGTCCCAGTGCGGCTCCCTTTGCCTTGGGCAGAGCCTGTGCCAGCTTCACCAGAAGCCCCTGCCCCTGGGCAGCAATGGGGAAGACGTGGAGGGAAGGAGGCTCACCTGCCATCACACAGCCGGGGGTGGTGCAGATTTCGCCCATCTCCTTGGTCTCTTTGATGGCTGAGGGCAAGAGCAGCGTGAGGGGGGAGTGGGGGACAGGCACACCTGGGGCAGGTCAGGATGGGGCCGGGTGGGGTCAGGTGGGCTGGGCAGGATGGGGCAGGGCTGCCGAGCAGGCGGTGTTAGGCACAACTACTGGCTGAAACCAGTATACATGAATATTGGAAGCGAATAAGTAAGCAAATGATAGCAGATGCCCAGGCTTTTTACTGTTGCAGTGGGAGGTCATGGATAAGAAAGGAGAGGAGGCTAGAAAGATCCATATGGTGATGGATTAGAGGTTCAGTCATCAGCATGAACTCATGTTCAGCTTAGTATAGACATAGATGGCTGTATATAGAATATTTATAGATAATGTATATACACATGGGTTGGCACACTCACACATATTCCCATGCCCTGTCAGCTGAGCATGGCCAGAACCACCACCAGCTCAGTAGCAGTGAGCACACACAGGACCCAGATCTTGGTTTCTAATACCATTACCTACTAAAGAGAACAGGGGATCCTTGGAAAAGTGGTTGATTCTAACTGGGGCAGGAAATACACAAGTGAGCCTGGAACATCTTAGTGCTAGAAAGTAAGAAACTGCTATCCCTACCTCTGAAGACAAAAAACAAACCCAAAGCCCAGTGATGGGGGTGTATTGGAGGGGCACAGAAGTCAATCGACAGAGCTCCCCATGAGCAAATCTGGACCAATTTGAGCAAAAAATGTAGTATTGAATAATAACCCAAAGTATAAAATCAAAATCCATGAGTCCATAGTGACATAAATAAATCATTGAATAGATAAATGGGGGAAACAGACATGTATTCCACATAAAATAATTCCAAATAGCTTATGTAGATATTCCACCTCTAAGGATCGTTTAAGTGTGGACTGCGCCTGGTAACTTCCTTTCAAGGACAGTATGGAAAGGGAAGGGGAAAGGTAACCACAGTGAGAAGCCCAACAGACACTGCCTCAAGCCGTGTGATCGGGTCAACATCTACAGTGGAAAGTCAATGAAAGCATGTATCTTTGATCTGTGGGCTTCTTTCTTTAGACAAACCAACCCAGTCTAATGAGAAAAACATCAGACAAATCCCAGTTGAGAGACATTCTACAAAATACCTGGCCAGCAGTCCTAAAAAATGTCAAGATCATAAAAACACGGGAATGAGGTGGATTCTAGTTTTGAGCCTAGGCCCCCAAGAGGCCTGTGCACTTTAGGGACACGCCCAGGCCTGCTCCCTGGCCCTTGTGGGAGGATGAGAACCACATGGAGCCGGGTGGTTGCAGCCAAGCCCAAGTTAGATCAGGGGATCCCCAGGCAGTGTATAGATGGGCGTCATCACAGGCAACTGTTGCTTTAAGCTCAGGAGTGTTGGGACGGTTTGCTAGGCGGCAATACCTAGCCGATACAGAAAATAACACAAGTATGTTTGAAATACTAAAAGAGATAAAAGAAAATAACTGGAAACAAGAGCAAGAAACATTTTAAAAGAATCAGTTTGGAGAATAAACCAAATTGGAAATTATACAAACAAATAAACCAACAAAAAAGATGTAGTAGCTGAGACTAAATTCAAAAAAAATCCGAAATGGATGGGTTAAGTAGCTGAAGAGGGGCTTAATGAATTGGAATCATTTTAGACAATAATCCAGAATGTAGGACAAAGTCAAACAGGCAGAAACTTTTCCCAAAGAGACATGGGTGATAGAGCAAAGTTGAGGATATATGTAGTCAGAGTGTTTGAAAGCGGGAATAGAGGCGAGGTGGGAGACACAATAGTAAAAAAGATAGTGGCTGCAATCTTCCAAAGCCAATAAATATTATTAATGCTCAGATTTGGGAATGGTGACAGGTCCAAAGCAGAATAAATAGAAATAGTTTCATAGCTAGACACAAACACAGAATACCAAAGACGAGAGAAAACAGCTCAGAGGAAAACACTGTGACAAGAGACTGACAGGTAGGTCGTCGTTTCAGATTTCCAAACAGTGGTGATGGAAGTTAGAAAACAGTGGGACTAAATCTTCAGGATATGGAAACGACTAAACCCAGATTTGTTTAGCCAGTTGAACTATCATTGAAGGATGAGTACTGAATAGTTATTTTCAAATCAACAAGAACTGAGAGTTTACTACTGAAGGATTATTTTCAAGCAGTGCTCCCTGAATGTGCCTGATCACAAGGCACAACTATAGTGCTCGTAGTACAAGAAGACTCGGGGGACTGGCGCTCGGTCCCGCCCAGGCAGAGTCCGTGGTGGCCGAATGTCTGTGCCCCTGACCCCCGTGCCTATGTTGAAGCCTTAACCCCCAGTGTGCCTGTATTTGAAAAGAGGGCCTGTGAGGTGATAAAGGTTAAATGAGGACATAGGATGGACCCTGATCTTTTAGGGCTGTCACCCTTATAAGAAGGGGAAGGGACCCCAGATCTCCCCCTCTTCACCATGTGAGGGCACAGGGAGAGGGTGGCCATCTGCAAGCCAGGGAGGGAGCTCTGGCCAAGAACTAAAACGGCTGGTATCTTGATCTTGGACCTCCTGCCTCCAGAACTGTGAGAAAATTATTTTCTGTTACTTAAGTCATCCAGCCCACGGTGTTTTGTTATGATAGCCAAGCTTACTAAGACAGGGCCCAAGTCTGGATTTTTGGCAGCTGTCCCAAGCTAGCCTTGCTATCAAAGCAGGTTTGAGAAATGCTGCCCTAAGTCAGCACTTCCCAAACTTCAGTGCAGGTGAACTATTTGGGGGTTAAATGCAGATCTTGACCCGGGAAGCCTGTAAGGTAGGCCCTGAGTCCGTGAATTTCTAAGAAGCTCCCAGGAGAGGCTGACACCACTGCTCCGTGGGCTACACTCTGAATAGGAAGCTCCAGAAGTATGTACTTGAGACAGAAGAAAAATTATGTCACAAGGACTGCTGAAATACAAGAAAGTTGATGAGCAAAGAAATTGATAAGGATGTGGGAAAATCTAAACTAACATTGGCTGCATTAAATAGTGTTGCCTGGGTGCAGTAAATAAAAAATAAGATGGAAACGCAGTACTTCCCCACACTGATGGGAGTGGGGCGCGGGGAGAGAAGCATTATCTCTTCAATGCTTGTATCATTTGGAAGAAATGTGGAGGTGTTGGCTAGCTGAATACTTACTAAGTTAAATATGCATATAAAAACTTAAGGTTCTGCTCTGCTTATGACAGCAGAAGCCACAGCAGCATGCCATCCCCCTTAACAACAAGAAAATCATGATAATCCCAATGTTTCTGGAGCCCATCTAGGACCTGAGGTTGGAAGGCAACCAGGGAAACAGCTTCAGAGAGCAACGGGCCCCTCCAAGCAGGGGCGAGGCTGCGCCCCCTTTGAGAGGACTCAGAAGTGAGAGATTGTCACCAGACACATGGGTAAGAAGAAATCAGGCAAAACTGTGATGAATTCTCACAGGCCACGTGTGAGCTAGCTGCCAGTTTGGAACAGCTGGGGGCCCCCAACCTAAGGGAATTTTGCACTTACATGTTCTTTCCTTGGGCCTTTGCTAGATGCCAACGAGAAACACTGGGCACAAGTCTCAGAAGACTGGAGAGAACCCCCTCAGTGGCACAGGCGTGCAGGAGGTCATCTGCTTCTGCTGAGACGCAGGCATGAGGCTCCTCCTGCTGGCCTGGGCCCTCCTTTTGTCTGGAGGAAGAGCTCTAAGCCACCCGGGGAAGGGTGGGAAGTCCTCTCACCCTAGGCACTGGGTACAAATGCCACCCGTCTGGAGGATCAGAAGTAAATATCCTCCACGGGGGCCCTTGTGGGCCAAGAATCTTAGCCTGACCCCAGGCTGAAGTTTGCTACCACGGGGGAGGGGCAGGAACTCAGGGTGAGGCTAAGTTTGATGGACATGGGGGTCTGGGCAGAGGTGCTAAGGCTGTTCCACCCCTGGGCTCCGGGCACAGCAGGCCTGCTGAAGACTGATCCTGGGCCAGGACACCTGTGGTCCCCCCACTCCAGCATGAGCCTTGCACCGAGATGAGCGGTAGCGACCTACCATTTGTGGAGGGACAAAGGCGTGGGGTGAAGGCCCCTCTGTGTCAAAGGCCTGCAGGCACCGCTAAGGCTGAGGCGGAGCAGGAACAGGGAGGGGAAAGGCCTCTGGCACCCTGGGCCTGGTGTTCTAAGCGCCCCGCCGCTGGAGGAATTCCAAGTCTGTGGTGCATGATGGGTAACAACAGCAAAGACAAAACTCCAGCCTTTTCAGACAAAGAAAACCTGCAGGAATTCACTTCCGCCGCACCTGTACAGCAACACATGTTAAAGGAATTTCTTCAGGAAGAAGGAAAATGATGGCAGGTGAGAATTTGGGTCTACATAAGAATGAAGAATATTGGGAATGGTTAAAAAAAATGATGAGCAGGCTTGGTCAGTCTCACCTGGATCCAGAATTCATAGAATTCTGGGAAGATAATTATGCACCTGGTATTTGTGTACACTCAGACTATATTATCACAGCTGATAACTAATAACTGTTACATAGAGAAATAATTATCCTCTTTTGCAGATTTATAGATTCACCGGCTTTCAGAGATGAATAGGATCTCAGATCTCCTCTTCAAGGAGCAGAACCTGAGGTGAGGTGGGGTAAGCCATCCAGGACCACACAGTCAGTATCAGCAAGTGCTGGGCTGTGTTTCATTTTACAAACGGTCGGAGGACTTTTTCATTCCCACTTGTAACCTTTTGCAGGAGATAGCAATTGTAAGGACTTGTGCAACATTAAAAGCTTCTAACTATTAAAGAATTTTTGGAGAAAAGATCAGAGAGGGCAGGAAAAGAATTTCAAGGTTTAGAACTGTCACTTTGAATGGACTCCCATCTACAGTCATTAATAATAAATGTGGTCTAGGTACTGCCGTACCTTGTACTCAGGTTGCATTTATGGCATCTCATGATTAACTAAAATATGTTTTATAAGCACAAGGTTGCTATTTGAGATGAATAAGCACAGGCCTGTCCTAAAATAATTTGACAGAAAGAAGGAAGCCTCTTAAACAAGGTAGCTATTAATAATAAGGAAACCAAATAATAACAAAGAAAGGTAGAGTAATCTATTCTTCACAGGTCAGCTGTAAAAGAGACTCAGTAGAAATGTTATACATGATGAATATGGATTTATCGAAAAGCAAGGACGTATCTGTATTGGGAGGGTGGGGGCGTGCCTGGGTGGTCTGAGGGGCTACATCTGCCCTCTGGTCAGCCATCAATAACAATATTGAGAGGGGTCAGTGGCAAAATATGCTACTTTGTTATTAAATATGATCAAGAACAGCATGATGGACATGTCTTTAAGTGTTGTTGTTATATATAGTTGTAATGCCTCCTCAGGACCTAACACTGATAATAAAGGCACAAAGACAAGGTGTAGACACACAAGGGGACACTCCAGTCCAGGGTTGGCAATATTTTTCTGTAAAGGTCCAGATACTAAATATTTTAGGCTTTGTGGGGCCACAGATAGACTCTCATCTATTCAGCTCAGCTCTTGTAGAAACTTCCACAGATAATACATAGATGAATGGGCACAGCTGTGTCCAATAAAACTTTATTTACAAAACAGGCCCTGGGCCAGATATGGCCTGTGGGCCATGGTTTGCTGATCTCTGCCCTAGACCATTAACATGTCTGCTTCTGAGGAGCAGAGTTCCAGGGCAGATAGGAGTTCAGGCAGGGGACTGCACTTGCCACTGTAATTTTTACTAAAAACATTTGATCTTCTGAAAACTGTCTATCTATGCCTTTAAATATTAATATATATTAACAAATATGAAAACAAAAATCTAAGATAACTTTAAAAGGATGAAAATATTAGACTTGAAAGCTGGGTGAGGGGAAAGGGAGTGAAAAATAGTAGCTCAACCCAAAAGAAGGCAAGAAAAGAGAAAAGAAAGGCATCGAAGCACAACAGGACACAATAGAAAAAGCATACATTTCACTGATCACAGTGAAGGCAAATACAGGCTGAATCCTCCAGGTAAAAGACAAAGACCCCAATCTCGTCATACGCTGCTGCAAGAGACACATCTAAAGCTAAAGACAGGAAGTTTCAAAGAAAAAGAATGGGAAAAGCAGACTAAGAAAATGGTGAGGAGTTGTCGCAGTCAGATCAGACAAAACAGAATTTAAAACGAACCAGAATTAAAGGCACTGATAAGATAGAAAGGTCCCCTATACAGAATTTTATTGTTGTTAACAACCATTTGATCGATAAATGAGAGATGCCCTCTCAAAAAAAAATATTATAAACATATGTACAGTAGTTAATAAAATGTTCCACTATGAAAAAAAAATGAATGAATGTATAAGTGATGAATGAATAAAAGGCTATGGTCAAGAACTGTCTTCCTTCAGTGTTCTTTGGCATTTGAAGGAAAAACAGTTTAGAGCACACACAATGACCTCTTGGGACCCCAGTTTCCAACACTGTATATTTGAGCAAACAACTGATACTTTTCTGAGCTGTTGCAAAGATTAAATAAGACAATGTGAATAAAGTATCTGAAAAAAAAAGATAGAAAGGATCACCACATAATTAGGTGCAGTGGAAGATACATGAATTCTAAATTTGTATTCACATAATAATGTAGCCTTAAAATAGGCAGATTCATACTTGACGTAACTATAAGGGACATTGACAGTTCTCTAGTGCAAGATTTTAACACACATATCTTTCAATATCTGAAAGATCAAAATGAAAAGAAAGCAAATATATAGAAGATAATAGATATACCTGAATCTCCCCTTTCATCTAGCGGTAGTGACTGGGTGTGTTCTACAAGCACATACATGCTTTTAAATATAAAACTGACCGCATATTAGCCCTAAGGCAAGTCTCAGCAAACAGGCAAGAATTAATGCCACAGAAGTCCTGGTTTCTGATGGCAATGCAATTAAGTTTGAAACCAATAAAAAAAGGAAACAAAAACTGTGTATCTGGAAATTAAAAAAAAAAGGATTTCTGAATAACTCATTAATCAATGAAAAAAATTATAGTGAAATAAGAAAATACTTAGAAATAAGTAATAACACTACATGTAAACACTTCCACAAGCTCCACAGGTACCTGAGGCTGAGCTCAGCTGTGGGGGTGGGGGCACATGGGTTCTGACCGAGGAGCCCGGGGAGAGACCCTACTTGTATTTAGGGGTTCGCAAGGACGAGGCAAGCAGGGCAGGCACGGTCCCCCTGCTGGGTGGGCTCCTGCTGCGCTGGCTCCCTAGGAGGGGACGGGCCCCCTGGCACCCCACAGCAGGCGGGGGCTGGTCAGCCCTGTCCCTGGGGGCTCTAGCTCAGTGGTTTAGGGCTGAGGTAGCCCTGAACAGCGAGAGGCTCCCTGGGGTCTGGACTCCGGGGTGCCCCGTGCAGCCGGCGACCCTTCCCTCGCCCTGCCCAGGGAGTGGGTAGGGTCCGCCTGCCCCAGCAGGAGACTCCGGGGCCAGAGGCCGCAGCGGCCAGCAGGCTCCAGCCAGGCACGTGGTCAGGCGGGAGCCGCCCAGGGAGAGGCGCCCCCCACGCCCACCTGCTTCTGGCCCACAGAAACAGCCTGGCCCTGCCATGGGCCCACGGTCCAGCGAGGGAACGTTCTAGTACACGGTCTGGGACGCCCCGTTGCTGACTGCGGGGAAGCACTTCCGCGGATACCCCGGAGTCCGATCCTGGGGGGGGCACTGCCCCGGGGGCCCGTGTGCACCAGAACCCATGCCTGCCGCAGGGGCATGCCCGCGAGTCCCCCGCTTCTGGCTGGGACCCCGCCCGGCCCCTCCCACCAGCCCGCCGTCTGCGGAGCCTGCCTGGGAAGCCAGGGGCCCGGGGCCCGGCCTCAGCGGGCGGGGAGAGGGCTCCTCGCGGGCCCTTTGGCAGCGCGGCGGCCGCGGAGGCGCGGGTGCGCCGCGGACGAGGGTCCCAGCGCCGGCGAGGGCTCCCGCTGCTGGGCCGGCCGGGCGGGGGACCTGGTCTGTGTGGCTCTGTGAGCCAGCCTCGCCTGGGCACGGCCTTCTGGAAGCGGCCGCCGGGTCGCTGCTGGTCTAGTCCCGCGCTCCAGCCCGCAGCACAGCCGGTGTAGACCCCGCCTGCCCGGCTGACAGGCTGGCTCTTGGGGCAGGCAGCTGGCACACTCTTGGGAGCTCGGCTGCGGGCAGCGGCTGGGGTTGCAGGCCTTGAGGAGGAGCGCCCTCGCCCACCTCTGCTGTCCACGTAGAGGAGGCCCAGGGTCACCAGGGCACCAGTCACCAGCAGCAGCACCCGCTCCAGGAAGGCTCGGCGCTTCTGTCCCTGCCAGCGGGCCATCTCCATCGTCCCCACCCGGCTTTCCGGCTTCCCCATCACCGAGTCTCTAGCTGTGAAAGTGCATAGCCGAGCCACCCCAGGGTTAGGGGCAGGGCTGATGTCCACCCAGGGCAGGGGAGGGGCGGCGTGGAGCTTCGGAGGCCCTGCCCAGGGCTGGAAGGGAGCAGGTGCTGGGTCCTTTTGGGGTGCCCAGCCTCAATCTCCATTGCCAAGTTCACAGGCGACCCAGCACCTGTGTCTCAGGCCTCCCTGCCATGTCTTCCTGGCCAGAGCCCACGGATGCCCAGGGGTGCCCGGTGGTGGGGGAGCCTAGCCTGCTGGGCACGGTGGAAATCTCTTCCTGAGGTCAGTCTCTCCACACCCACTCCCTGGCAGGGGGTGGTCCGGCGTCCACTCTGCTCATGGTGTGGGGGGCACTCGGGATCCAGGAGGCCCAGCCCCATGCACCTGTGAGGGGTCAGCGCAGGGCAGCCTGCTGGGCCCTCCTGTCGAGGGGGCTCCTGGAGCTACAGGCCTGGATGCCGGGTCAGGGACACCCTCTGAGAGGTGGCTTGGGCTACTGAGCTCCCTGCCCATCTTTCCTGCTGGAGCAACAGACTCTGAGGTCTGCGTGTGCTTCCTTGTGTGTGTGAGTGCTTGTGAGTGTGCGCCTGGATGTGTATGTGTGTGTATACACGGGAGTGCAGCGGAGTGTGCATGTGCTCCTGTGCATGTATGTGGGTGTGCATGTGCGCATGTGAGTGAGCATGCATGTGTGTGTGTACTCCTTTACCAGCACACAGTCAGAGCCCTGCCTTCAAAGCTGCTGGGCACCAGGGGGCACCTGCTGGGAACACCAGGCTGCCCTCCAGGGCTTCGCGGGTGCAGCTCTCCGGCACGTCACACACCTGACGCTGGAGCCTGGTCCCCCCTCTGCACCAGCAGGGCTGGAGGTGGGAGGGGCCTGGGGCTGCACTCAGGTCTTTCCTTCAGGCGGGTGAGTGCCCGGACCAACCCGGGCAGACCTAGATGGTCTTAAGACACCTGGGTGGGCATGTGCCTGAGTTCCGTCCCGACTCGCAGGGAGTCTTAGAGGGTCTCTGAACCTCCCCGGCCATCACCTCCACATGACCCAACTCATGAGGAGAAGCCAGGCCTGCTGGGGTCTCAGGACTCTCCCCAGCGCCATCACCTCTCTCACGCCCTGACCATGTTTCCCACCCCACCCCAGGCAGGCCCTCCCCAGATCCCTGCTGCCCCCTGACCCCTGGGAGCCCTGCTCTCGGTCACCTTCCCTGCGAAGCCTTCCCTCCCTGGGCTCCTGTTACACAGGGCCAGCCTCAGCCCCCCCTGGCGCCAGGCCCATTGGTTTCACCACCAGGCGCGCAGTTTGGCAAATATGCTCCTTCCTTCTCTTCCTGTTGCCTGTCGCCCCCCAGACCATCAGCCCCATGGGGGCAGGGGCTCCAGCTGCCTGGGTGCCCAGCCCCTGCACTGGTGCCCGCCATCCCAGAGGCACCGACCAGCGTCTGAGCGAGCGATGACCGAGCCACTTCGGCGGGGCCCTGTGGATGCCTGTGGCTGTGGATTACCGCATTCTCTCACTTTGATCAGAGCCAATGAATTCGCTCGCTCATGAATCCCCTTCCTTCTGTGCTGACCTCCAGAGCCTCCAATCACAGAAAGCCACACAGTCTTCCAGTTGAGGGCTGAGGGCAGAGCCAGCCGCGGGAGATGCTGGGAAGGGGCAGGCGGCCTGGCCCGTATCTCCCTGGACACTCACCCACGGGCTGGCCAGGTTCTGTGGCTGGCAGGGAGCCAGGGTCCTTAGGGGAGGACAACTAAACAGGGGTGGGGTGGTGACTCCCACACTCCCATGCAGTGACGCTACCCATAAAATGCACTGCCCAACCCCCAGGAATGGGCTGAGCACCTGGAGGGTGTTGTCACTGCGGAAAGGTGACCGGATGGGCAGACCCCTGGCTCGGCTCACCTTCAGGCCACTTGGAAACGGTCTCCACCCACATGCAGGTTTCAGAAGACTGGGTCAGGATGGCCTAGCAGTAGGGTGAGCTGAGGTGGGGTGGGAGGGCTCCCAGGGGCAGGAGCAGCGGCTTCGGGGGTCCAAGTGCAGCCCGGCTGGCTTCCCGCCTCCTCTGTGATGCCCGTGTGGGTTCCCTGGAGGCGGTGACCTCTGCTTCTTAGCATCAGCGAGTTCCATCCGGGTTTGGTGTGGGGGGAGGGGGCACCGGGCTCCCAGCCGAGGCGATGCCCCTTGGAGGCTTCCCCATCCTCTTCTCCCTCCTCCTTGACTCCTCAGTCCCAAAGGGCCTGAGGGAGGTGGTACTGCTGGAAGGAAGGTCCCCATCCTGTCCTGCTTGCGCAGTTCTGGACGAGAGAACCACATTGGGGTGGGGTTTACAAGGCCACCCCAGTGATGGCGGTGGGTCCTGGGGGCCTTGTCAGGTGCCACAGGGGCTAGATGCCAGAGGGTTGACACCCAGAGACACCCACATTGGGCTGGGGGGGCTTGGCTGCCTCCTTCTGCCCCTGGGGACTCTGAGGCTCAGACCCTATACCTGCAGGGGGCAGTTGGTCCTGGCAGGAGGGCAGGATAGGAGCTTCTGGGCAGAGGCCCCCCAGTGCTTCAGAGTGGTAAGCATCCCACCAGACCTGCTGATGGGGGATGCCCTGGGCAGAGCAGGCCCCAGTCAGAACCCAGATCTCCCCTCTCCAGGCCCAACTCAGTCACCAGCATGGCTCTGTTTCAGAATCCTGTGGAATGATGGTCCCCAGGCCCCTGGGACTTGGCTAGGGGACCAGCAGAGGTTCCCTGGATCCCGTTGGAAGGTCTGTGTCCACCTTCAGCCGGCCCTGCCCTGGGGGGAGGGCGGCACTGCTGGGTCAGGTCCCAGGCACCACCCGCGGACCTCAAGCAAGGCTCTCCTCAGCTGCTGGCTGTCTCCCTGCGGTCCCCCAGAGGGCCCAGAAACCCATCCGGGGTGAGGAGCTGGCAGCCCAGCCTGGAGGCGGCCTGAGCGGCTGGCACAAAAGGGCGTGAGCCTGAGTCAGGGGAGAGACAGCGGGCCTTCTGTCTGAATAGAACTAACAGTTCATACGGTTGAACGAAACCTGGGCTCATTCATGGTAGTCTACAGTCAGTGGCTGAATGCCAGGCCTCCCCGGACATACCGCAGAAGAAAGCACAGGGAGGGTACATCACAGGTGTCCGTGCACCCCCGCTGCAGCCCCCAGGAGAGGTCGCGGGGCTGAGTTTCTCCTTGGCTCTGTTTCCAGGATACAGTTCCTAACTTTGAGTCATCCTTGCATTCCTGTGTATGTTGCTCATGGCGCATCCTTTAACGTGCCCTTGGATTTGGGTTGGTTCGCATTCATTTGGGACTTTTGAACTGGTAGTTCGTAAGTGAAACTGGCTCATGGCTCTCCCTTGGTTGAGATTACGCTTTCTTCCAGAAAGAACTTGGACGCTTTTCTTTCTCTTGGCTATGAAGGGGTCTAGGGACACTTGGGATTGACTCTGGACCTGTTACGTTGTCCTCATCACTTTCAAATTTTGTGTCTTACTCTAAGTGCCCGACAGGGAGGCATCCATCTCAGAAGACACCCGTTTCAAACCCATCACCAGCTGTGCAGGACAGCCACCAGAAGCCAGGCTGCCCACATGCATGAGGGTCCCTCTCAGAAAGCCCTGGGCGACCCAGCTAAAGGGCAGCTCGGGTGACCCTGCCTCCAGCCTCCTGACACTTATTCCCATGCTCACACTTCAAATTAGCCAATAACGAGTGGCCCCACAAAACCCCGACACCGCACCCTCGGACCCCAATAGAGGCAGAACCCTTGGCTTGGCCTCTCTCTACCTGAGACCTGGCTGTATAGCCCGGTGCAATACGATAAGTCCTAAGAAATTTGTATTTGGTCACTCAGATGACCGAATATCTATTTCCCAGGTGTATTTGGTCTTTATCCAGTTCCTGAAAACACTGCAGAGTCTAAAGGTGAACCGGGTGTCTTGTCATGTTAATGAGAGACTTTTGGACCCCACCCAAGGGCAGGGGGTGGTTTGAATCAGCCAATAGCCAATGATTTAGTCAATTGTGACCATGCAATGGAGCCCTCACAAGACCACCTTGAGAAGAGCTTACCGCTCCCTCGGACCCTGCTTCTCTGCGGAGAGAGCCATGCCTGGGGAACCAGGACGCCTCCATGCGCCACGGGACCAGGCCCCGAGCTCCTTGAGGATAGAAGCACCTGTGTTTGGGTCCCCACCCCGTGTCTCTCTTCATCTGCCTGTTAACTTGTATCCTTCACGGCATCCTTTATTAAACTAGTAAACGTGTTTTCCTGAGTTCTGTGAGCTGCCCTAGCAAATTATTCAGACCTAAAGGGGAGGTCATGGGAGCCTCGTCTGTAGCCACAGGTCAGAAGCACACGGAACAGCCTGGGGCTTGCGACCAGGGTCTGGGGTGGAGGGTGAGGGCAGTCTTGTAGGACGAGGCCCTTACCCTGGGAATCTGGTGCTGTCTGCAGGCAGACGACATCAGAATTGAGTTCTCGGGCACAGAGAACTGCCTGGTGTTGTGTGTGGGAAGACCCTCCTCCCCACTCCCACCTCCCACACACTGGAATTGGGTCTGGGAACCTGAAAGGAGTCATATTACTGCTGTGTAAGAAAACACACAACTGGCCAGGCCTGTGCCCGCCAGGACTTGTGCATAATAAATCTTGCTCCTCAAAGTTCCCTGGGGCTCTGCTGAGGTGTGTCCAGCCAACACAGTGAGGCCCACAGGGGCCACATCGGCTCTGTCTGAGGTGATGCTGTGGGGCTCGCCTGAAGCAGGGGGCCCAGGTGAGGGCTCCCGCAGTCCTCGCTGACCGCTGTCCACAGGCTGGGACCTGCGCCAGGGCCTTTGTGCTTTTCCATCTTAAGTTCACGGGTGGTACATCTGTTGAAGAACTGGAGGCTGGATTTATTCACCCATTTTCTATTCCTAATCCATCACTTTGGCCTTTTCCTACTACATCCCACCTGCTCATCTCCTTTGCCGTCCTTTTCTGGCGTTTGAATCGCACATATGGTCTTGGTGATAGAAGCGCCTGGCCACACCCACACCTGCTTCTCTGTGCACCTGTTGCCAGGATTTTCTCAATATTCTGTGATTCCAGATTTGACCCGAGTTGTTTCACACGCAGATAATTGTTATAAGTTAGTTTATAGCTTTATTGTCTTGAGATTAGGTAATACTGTCTATACCATATCACAAACATTTTCTTGGTAATCAGAAATGTAGTTTTATGGAAAGCAGGATAATCTCTCTCCTCGGCCAAGAGTCTGATCACCTTTCCATTCTGCTGTGGAGGCTGCCCAGGGCCTGCTAGTTTTGTCATGTGAGTGTCACAGTGTGAGGCTGGGTTGAGCGCCATCCCTCCTGTGCCTGGGACAGTGATGTCGGATGTCTGCAGGTTGGGGCAGAAGGGCCAGGACAGACTGTGCCTGACGAGCCGGGAGGACCAGCCTGCAGGGTCCCTCAGGCTCTTTTCTGTTGAGAAACCCACCCCGAGAGCCAGAGGCCCAGGTGTGACTCCTAGACTCCACTACTAACTTGACTTTTTGTGCAAATTTTGGACCCCTCCCAGCTTTCAAAATGGGGTGAGGAAGGAAGCAATAATGCAGCAAAAACTTTTTGGGAAGAGCTCGTAGTGCCCTGAGCACTTACTGGCAGGTTGCCGGTAGGCAGTTAGCTCCACCTTCCAGCCACTGCCCCAGCTGTGGGCAGCCCTGGCACCCAGTAGTGGCAGGGCAGGGTCAGCCAGGCTGCAAGGAGGGGTGCCCCTGGTAGGAGCTCATTAGGGCCTTGGACCTCAGCACCCAGCTGGGCAGTGAGGGGCTGCCTGGAGTGTGGGTGGGCCTGCAAAGAGCAATAGCTCCCGGCCCCGCCCCAGCAGGCTGCACTCCTGGGCCTTGCTGGGGGCGGGTGCTGGTGCATCCACCCTCCTGGGTTCTCCAAGCACAGGTGCCAAGGCTGCTCAGTCCTGGAGCCACCCAGTGGGGTGGGGCTGGTGGGCAGGGGCAGCAGGGCGAGGCCAAGCACAGGCTGACCAGCACCCTCCTGCAGCCCAGGGTGTGTGTGTGTAGCTTTCTCTGCTGAGCTTGGCCCCAGGCCAGCCCTGTGGGAGATGGGGTGTGGAGGC